CATTCCTCACTGTGCAGTTTGTATCAACTGGTCAGAATAAGAATGCCAATTTGGACATATGGGATAGCATATTAAAAATGTATCTAGAATTCTTTGTCAGGTGTCCTATATTTCAAAGGCTGTATTTCATCATGATTTTCCCTTTGTGATTAATTTCTAAAAAATATTTTTTTTTTTTTAAGAAAAAATGCCTGTCTTTTTTGGTAACCTAATTATCATGGTTTCTTAGCCTGTTGTGTTCTCAATCATGTTGCTCATGCAAAGGACTTAAGACTAAATTAATGCAATGTTGGCAGTGTTAATTCATGTATGTTAAAAATGACAAATATGATAAAGCCACATTTTTATGTGCTTCACAGCTGTTTTACCACTATGAAGAGTACATCATCTTAAAAGTTCTATTTTTGGAAGAGTTGGAATCATAGAATCGTTTAGTTTGGAAAAGACCTTTAAGATCATCAAGTCCAACCATAAACCTAACACTGCCAAGTTCAACACTAAACCATGTCTAAGCACCATGCCTAAATGTCTTTTCAATACCTCCAGGGATGGTTACTCAGCCACTTGCTTGATAACCCTTTCAGTGAAGAAATTTTTCCTAATATCCAACCTAAACCTCCCCTCGTTCAACTTGAGGCCATTTCCTCTTGTCCTATGCTTTTCTCCAGCCTCCTTTTCACCAGACTAAATAACCCCAGTTCCCTCAGGCACTCCTCATAAGACTTGTTCTCTAGACCCTTCACCAGCTTCATTGCTCTTGTAAGTGCTCTTGTCCAGAAATACAAACATCTTGTGGTCCTTAGGAAATGTATCTGTAACTTGACAAATTATTCACTAGATGTCTCTGTGCTCCTGAATTTAGTATGTTACTGTTGAAACCAAATAGTGATTACAATTCAGAGGTAATCTGATTTTTTTTTTCTATATTGAAAATATTTCAGATACCATCTTAAAATAATTGTAATTTAAATTAGATTTTTATAGTCTTTGTTCATATAAACCTTGCAAGAAATGATGCACTGCTACTTGAATTTCAGTCATTTAATTACACTGAATTAGTGTTATCTTTTTATTGATACAAATAAATTTATCAATGCATCAAAAACCTACACTACACAGTTATAGCAAAACTCAAAAGTATTTGTATTGTAGAATACTACAGATAATTAATATTGGTTTTAGTTAGTCTGTGGATTTTTAAGTAATAGTTTTGTCACCTGATTTGGTGACAGATCAGTATCTGCTTACAATTTCTCTTGTTCCATTTTTATTATGAATTCTGGAGATCTGAGTTTGGAGTTATTGCAGGGAGAGGGTGTATGTTTTTCTTTGTAGGAAAAATAAGGCTGCACTTCCTACGTGTGTTTCAGATCTCTGCTCAAGTTGAAAGCACAGTTTTATACCCCTGGCATTTAAAGATTTCATATGCCCTTGTATGATTCATTTCTATTTTGAAAACCATCTACACATCAATCTATGAAAGGAGCAAGAAAGTTATTGAATTATGAGGGGCTAGATTTGCTATTTCCTTTTCAGTGTATTGAGAGCTCTAATACCCATGCAGTTGAACAACCCTGTGTTTACTGATTTTTCATTGTCTGTAACTTTTCTTAGGAATGAAATCTACATCGCTCCTTCAGGAGTCCAAAAGGAAAGAATACAGGTACGTTGAACTGTATTTTTACCTCAGAGCTCATCTTGAGATGGGTGAAAGTAGCTTTGTTCAGAGTTTCATTTTTCCTTATGTAAAGTTAGAAACTTGTTATACTATTGACTGCCTTATTGGAACAGCTGAGGATTTTGCCTAGTACTCCCCTAGCATAGCAAGTCAGCATGTGTTTCAGTGGCCAGTGTAGATAAGTCCTGATGATCACTTTGCTTTAAATTAACACAGAAGACTGTAAGATTCGAACATTACTCAAGTCCAGCTTTATTCTTTGTCAAGCTTGAATGGCTTTATAGCTGTCTGGCTATAGTTTCAAGTCACTGTGGCACATATGTAATTAAGCATTAACACCTGACCTCTCTTTGTTTTCATTTGAGTGATTACAAATCTTTGTCCTGATATTCTCAATAAACAGATGGGCTTTCCCCATGAGAAGGTGACCTTGTCTATCTGTCTCCCTTCCAACAAAACCACAAAATATAAGTGGAGGGGAAAATGGCAAATTATAACTATTTTATGACAGCAAGAACTCCCCCAGAATAGAATAATATGTGGAAAGGATTTGTTGTTTTATAGATGTGAGGGTAAATACAATAAGAAGTGAAAGGAATAGCTTCACTCATAGAAACTTGGGGTTTCGCAGCAGTGCTCCCTGGGGATGTTAGCAAGTAAGGCAGGCAAAGGCATGAACCATAGCAAGACTGTGATGGTGTGTTCTTTGCTAGCAGTAGCAGTGGATTGAGCACAGTGAGTAAGGA